GAAGGATCCTCTGGAGTGCCACTTTTACCACTTTTATTACTTAGCCACGACAGCCCAAAAAATATTATAGCGTTGCTGACACTTGAGAGACTTTTGCACAACCTAATAGTTAACTAATGGGGCAATTCACTAAAGTCAGATTGCAAAATCTGGACATTTTTCATGTAATTCAACAATATTTGGATTTTTGCAATTCAGGCTCCAAATAGGCCTGAATCTGATCCCGATTAAAAAAAAAAAAAAAAAAATGGAATAAATGAAAATCCTATGGGGTTCTTAAATGTTATTATTGTAAGGAAGGTATGCCCAAACCTGACACATATCTACTAAGGTACTAAAAGGAGCGACTATGCATGAACTATGGATTTGTATTTGGCTTTTTGGGGGGAGAAAAAGAGAAAAAAATTAAAAAAGAAGACTTTTGATGGTAAGTATTGTTTTTTTTTTTTTGATTTGTTGCTCCTAACTCAGTATTATTAGGGAGATGAGGTTAAATAAGGTAATTGATATTTTATGGGGGTGGCTAATGGATTGGGGACCCCAAGCCAATCTAGGTGGGGGTCATGCCTTTAGATGGGTGGACAATAGCATGTCCACCCCTCCCTTATTTATTGAATTAAATGAGCCCCCCCTCACCACCAAAGGAGTTTTAAGTCAAGACAATTTTAGCATGTTATAATTGATCAGTCATTCTGGCAAAACAAGTGCATCAGGGGCTCTCGTGTTCCTCAAAAAAATGAGTGTTGTATGAAGACACAAGGATACTTTTGGACCAGATACACATTCCTATTATAAGATATGCTTATTATAAGATCTGATCTTAATGATCTTGATGTGGTTTATGTTTATCAACCTCTCCCAATACTTTTTTTTTTTTTGTATATTGACAAGATTAACGTGCTAAAATTGAAGGGAGGCTTAGTTTTGATTTAAGTGGGATTCCCTCAAGATATATTATGACTATTAATATTGTTACAAAACTCACTCTCTTTGTTTCCTTTAGTTTCTACAACTGGCAATATTGATACTGTTTTCGTCTTAGCATATTCCAACTTCATTTATAACAGCTGTAACCATTTTTAGTAACATTTTGTCACAGTGTTATCCATCTTTGGAAACTACCACCTTTGACAAAGTGCTTTTGTACTATAATGAATATTACTGTAGTTGGGATATTACTATTCCCCTCTATAACTTTTTTTTGTTTTGTAAATTATTGTTTTATTGCAAGTCGATAGCACCAGTAATAGACTTTGAGAGAGGACAACTGGTCCTTAGAAGCAAGCAATGTAGATTTTGTAGGTCGCACAAGGCCGTTAAATGATATACTGAAAGAGGTTTGGACTTGCAAGCCCAGCAGAAGGCCGTAATGACAAAATGTGCATAAAATATAGAACAACAAAAAAGTAATAATTACAAGTTATACAACAATATCTTCCAACTCTAAATTAGCAGATGGGTGATGGAGGCCAAAATAAAAACCATTAGGAAGTCACCATACCCCAACCTCTAAGATTAAAAAGTGGTATTTGACAAATAATTCTAGTACATCTCTATCTCGCAACGTCTACCTGAAAGGTTCCAGAGCATAAACACTAATATAGATACAAGGCCGCCTCAATGAGGAAGATGTGTGTGAGAGCAATGGGGTGATGGAGCCCCAGCTCCCCCCAATAAAGCATCTATGCCCAGCCAGTGAACTGAGACTTTCCCTAAGTCTGCCCCTCCTCTGGGGTAATATCCCTGTCATCCCTTGAATATCCTGTCAGAGGTCTATAAGTAAGCCATTTCTGGAAGTCAGCATGGTAAACAACCGTCAACCAATGCGTCATATAAGTTTGAAAATGTCCCTGGGCTGAGAACGTCAGTACCTCTAATCTGCGCAAGTCGTCCATTTTGTCAAACCAGTCCGTAAAGGCGGAGGGGTGTCTTTTTTCCAAAATAGGGGTAGAATGTGTTTTGCTGTATTCAGTATTCTAATAGTCAGTGGTTTCTTATACTTAGCAGTTGGCATGGTAGTGTGGTGTAAGTGATTGCAGGTGGAAAGGGAGGGGTGTTGTCCAAAAACCTTGACAAGATCTCATGAACCACTTGCCAAAAAGGCATGATCTTAGGGCATTCCCATCAAATATACACGAACTGTGGTGCCCTATACCACAATGACAAAACTTTGTATGCCGTCTCTTGAGTTTTACTGGCCAGTGCACAGTGATGGACCAGGTCACAAATCTTGCCCCATTCCTGTTCCCTAAAAGTCTCACCAACCACAAATAACTACCATTATTTTATCAGAATTCCCACTGGCCATTGGTACGGACCGGTGGGTGGACAGTAATCTATCCTCCATGATTTCTTGATTAAAACACCCCCACCTGATGCCCACGAATGGCGGCCAGCCACTACACAATTAACCCTTGCATTGCCTAGGGTTAACTATTTGCCCGCACAGCCAGTGGCAAAATAGTGCTTCTAATTATCATTGAAGTTACATGAAAGCAAATAAATGATCACTTACAAACATACCATATTTTAATAAACCTGGTACTTTATGAATTTTCCAAATCCTATATTTTGTATACAATTCAGTTGTGAAAGCACCGGCTTTAACCCCTTAAGGACCAAACTTCTGGAATAAAAGGGAATCATGACATGTCACACATGTCATGTGTCCTTAATGGGTTAAAGGAGTCAGTATGTGCAGCGTTTCTGCTTGAAACGCTGTACATAGTGAGATATCTGTAATTGTGTGCTGGATGGATAATTGCATCCCCAGCACACGTGACATTGGCAGTGCACTCTGTTCCAGGCTGCCAATATCAATTCTGTGCATTTTGTGCATCTCTGCCTGCAAGAGGAAGATTGCTTACCCCTCCATCCCACCTCACTCCGTTGCCCTCAGGATTTATTATTTTTTTTAAAAACCCTACCTTCCTCTCCCCCTCGTCAGACTGGGACACACGCATGTACTCTAAGCCGATGAAATGGACCAATCACAGGCTTCTCCATGAGAAGGTTAACACTGGGAGCTACTTGGTGAGTATAACTCTTTTTATTTGCAGGTCGTATTTCTCTTCTCAATAGTGCCTAGTAGGGCATTTTACACCAGAAAACCACCCTTTCCCCCCACCAAAAGGACCTTTATTAGGTGAGTTTAACCAATTTTTTTGCATCCGGTGATTGCTGCAGAGTCGCATGGGCCAACTAAATTGCAGCCACATTTGGCTTTCGTAAATATGAGAATTGCCAATACAATTCAGCCATTCTCACCGGATTGGTGTTCGGTAAATAAAAGTTAGCTATTGGTTGTACTAATTTTCTTTTAATTGAACTAAATTTCTTTTCATTTTCATGCTGTGCCACCCATATTAGGCGAAGCATGTAAGTTAGTTAACGACTGCAATGATATAATCATGGAGCATGCATGCATGGCATTGCTGCAGAAAATGCTGACACTATATGTGTAAAAGCTTGCATGCTTTGTCACTCACAATAAAGAAGTACAGTGGACGTAAGTACATTTTTTTAAAAGGGACTCTATAGTCACCCAGACCACTTCTTCTCAATGAAGTGGACTGGGTACCAGGTTCAGCTCCATTTTAATCCTACCATGTCCACCCCCTTTTTAACCTTCCTCTCGTGGTAAAATCTACTATTTCAATTAGATGGCCATGTGATTGGCAGAGTGTGGAGTTTTGCTGTGCATCCGCTCTAGCCTCACAATACTTTCTTATGGGCCAAAGACACAGAGTGAATTTTAGAGACCAGCAATGCGAGGAAAAGGTATGTAAACCTCGTGAGATGGGCACTAAAGCATTATGTATGCTCATTTGTATTCCTAACCCTATCGAGTTAATTCAAAAAACCACTGACACTGTCTAGAGACTTTGTAAAAGACCCTCAATGATGTAATCACTGCTGGTGGACGGGGGGCTTGTAATGATGAGATTTACTTACCTGTCCCTTGTGGGCATAGCCATATTCCTCTGAGCAGTCCTTTTCAGCACCAGGAGTCGATGTCACTGCTGTACTCTTTCACATGTGTAAAAGTACAGCATGGAGGTCTATGAATGAACCCCTGAAACCCTCCATAGACTGAGCCATTTCGCTGCAGCCGTCATTGGCGATGCCTGCTGGGATTGGGATTGACACTGTAGCTCCGACCAGTCAGGATTAGGGAATATACAAAGACATACTAGTTCATACTTTGTCTCTGTATATCTCTTTTCTAGGTTGGAATTTCATTTAAATCCCAACACAGTCAATATGAATATTTCATAAAGATCCTTTTTGTGTGTGTGTGTGTGAAATGCCGCTTTAATTTATTTTGCCTTATGGAATAGTGTTTACTGGAGTGTGGTAACACTCATCTGTCACGTCTCTGGAAGTGACCGTTCTGCTTTAACTCTTACTGTCCATGGTGCCTCTAGAAAAAAGGTGTCCATGGTTCATCTTTTTCTTTCAATCCTTTTTTAATAACTATTTGGTAAGTTTATAATAAATGGTGAAACACAGCAACACTCAGCAATAAATGATCTAATGACAGTTTTAACCAGACATCAAAAGTCAACGACAGCAAATTGGAAATACTCTATGTTTCCATGTTGACTGTCTTTATCAAGCCATCTATTTAGTGACTTTAGTAATATATTGTGTGGTTATCTATCAAACCATTCCCATTTGCCTTTTTTTGAGTCTATTTTGTCTGAGATCCAATTCAGAGCTCTTTTTTATTTTATTTTTATAAATTATAAGATGTTTTTTGCTCATCTTGGAGGACACTAAGTCTCTGTTTCATAAAAAAACCCAAAAACTAATTAATAATCATAACACACAGAGATCACACAATAATCATAACACACAGAGGTCACACAGCCCTCCCATAGAGGGTGCATGGTGTGTTTACACCTGTCATAATGACATTGTCCTCGTGGAGAAGCAGTGGGAGGGGCTAGAGATCAGCTGCTCGCTGATTGGTTCACTGTGCTGCCACACTCGGCACTCTTTGCGCGTTGCCTAGAATCACAGGCCTTAGTTTCTTGAAGCCGCCATTTTCTCGAAGACCTAGTTTTAGTTGTGTCTGTATAACGGTAAAACGGTTTCTGTAACCAGACACACACACACACGGCACGCTAATGACATTTGGACTTGCGCGCGAGCGTTATCCAGGCGTTCTGATTGGCTCAACCTTCTGTCAGTCAGTCGGTCCAGCCCAACGCAGTTGCCTACGCCCCCACTCCCGGAAGTGGCACCCATGGTCGGTGCTCGGTGCGTGTTTCTAGGTAAGGAGTGGCTGGCCTGTCATGGCGGCCTGGGTAGCAGCAGCCGCCACTGCAGGGGTCCTTGCTGCTATTCTGCTGTACTGTCTACAGGAAGCAGGTACTCCCCTGGCAATGTCGTGCAGCTCAGTGAAGCACAGACATGGCATTCAGGGCTGTGCAGAGTCACAATCATATAATACACCAACGTGCTCCCACTGCCACCCTGTAATAAAATATTTCAACTGTAGAGGAAAGGGGAATGGTTTATTTATATTAAAACCAAAAAAAATACTGTACAACAACAAAGAGGTCCTGTGGTGTCACTGTCTGTGCTGACATAAGTGTGCCCTGCGAGCAGTTGATTATATACAGTATCAACAGCTTGATTAGCACATAGTGGGGGGAGATTTATCAAAGTGTTGTGGAAATTAGCACATTAAAGGTCATAAATTCCATCATTTTTCTCAGACATTTTAGAAAATGCCACTTCATTTACAGAACCCGGTGAAAGAGAAGTTAAATAGGATACCTTTCTGGTGTAAAAACTGGCTGGGAGAATGATAGATCAGTTTCTCTGCTGAAATTACTTTCAAAAGTGATTGTTAGGGTGCAAAAGAATCAACAGACAAAAAAAAAATCCAACATATTTAATAAATTGATATAAAAAAAAAAAGTGTAGAACTCTCTGTAACACTTCAATAAATTTCGCCCACTGAGTCACACAAATGTACATTTTACTTCGAAAACGGACACAATAATTAGAATACTACAATGTGGATTTGCGTTTATATATAGGCATTGGAGAATTTGCATTGAGTTAGAAGTAATTGATTATGCAAAAACTGAATTTTTCTTTTATTCTTTAGTCTGGTATGTAATCATTATATAGCATTTGCAAGGTATTCCAGTTAGTGTATTAGAATCATAAGATACTTACTATACGCATTGCATAGGTTATATGGTGCATGGAGATCCCGTCACTGTGTTCTGCATAAAATGCCTTATAACTTCAGCAAGTTTTTAAAATCGATGCTGCTGTTAGTTTGGCAATACAAAGAAGAATATTAGGCACGTGTGAGCGACCATGAGTAGATGTAATGTTTTAGCTTAAAGGACAATGTCATGCTAACTTACCTTTGTATGTGGGGATGTAATTACACTGATGTAATTTTTGCACAGAATACATTTTAGGAAGTCCGGAAGAGATTTCTAGACTGCCTAAGTTATGTGTGCTTCATGGGGGTGTAATGACACCCTGGCACACAGAGATTCCTCGATATAGTCAGTATTTTAGCCCCTTAAGGACACATGACATGTAGGACATGTCATGATTCCCTTTTATTCCAGAAGTTTGGTCCTTAAGGGGTTAGGCTGAAATTATCGTATCTTGTTTTCCTCTTCTTCTCTTAGAATTTGTTCTTGTGTTTTTTTTATTTTTTTATTTTATCGTTTTCTTGAAAGCATAAGATAAAGCAGGGACTTTCTCTTATATATTTGTCCTATACTTGACTGACTTTGACCAAAGGAGGAGCTTAAGTCAGAAAGTATTCACCCTTCTCATTGACACAGGAAATGGAGATGACTTAAAGGGACTCTCCAGTGCCAGGAAAACAAACAGTTTTCCTGGCACTGCAGGTCCCCTCTCCCTCCCACCCCCCATCCCAGGTTGCTGAAGGGGTTAAAACCCTTTTCAGTGACTTACCTGTATCCAGCCCCGATGTCCCTTGGTGCTGGTTCAGGGTCTGCCCAGGCTCCTCCCCTGCCGACGTCATCCGGCGGGGGAGACCTCATGCGCGGCCGATGGCGGGGGAGACCTAATGCGCATGCGCGGCAATACCGCGCAAGCGCATTAGACCTCCCCATAGGAAAGCATTGAAATGCTTTCCTATGGGGATTTCAGCGACGCTGGAGGTCCTCACATAGCGTGAGGACGTGTAGCGACGCTATAGCACACGGAATGTGTGCTATAAACCCGGAAGTGCCCTCTAGTGGCTGTCTAGGGAGGAGTTAACCCTGCAAGGTAAATATTGCAGTTTATGAAAACTGCAATATTTACAGTTGCAGAGTTAAGGGTAGTGGGAGTTGGCACCCAGACCACTTCAATGGGCAGAAGTGGTCTGGGTGCCTGGAGTGTCCCTTTAAGCTCCTCCTTTGGTTAAAGACATTTT